GGGAGGTTCTCCTTGGCCAGGTCCAGAGCAGAGGAGGCCCGCGTGCCAGCGCCCTTGCACGGGACGCCCTGGTCCTCCGCAGCTTTGAAGTTGAGGTTCTCTCCCAAGGAGCTGCAGCGCGACATCTTGGCGCGAGAACTGGCGGTGGCGCCCATGTAGCTCTGCCAGGGCGCCCTGGCGGCGGCGGCAGGCGCGGCCTCCTTGCAGGGCCCAGGCAGGGACTGTCGGCGGGGAGCCGCCGTAGCCCCGCCAGGCTCGGCGTCCTCGCGGGAGCACGGCTGTGCCCCGGCCTGGGGGCCGCGGGCCGGCCCGTCATCTGGAACAGATCCAAAGAGGTGTCGAAGGTGAAACACAAACTGAGTTCAATGGCCAAGTAACCCCTCTATCAACCGGAGCGCAAAAGGAGCAGAGCAAGAGGACGCAGAGAGGAAGAGGGGAAAGTGGCCAAGTGTGACCGGTGCTCCTCCCCCAGCAGCCCGCTGCAGAGAACCCAGTGCCCAGGCAGCACAGCCACAGGTGTCTAGTGTCCCACTCAGGCAGGCCACACACACCTCCCGGCCCGACTCCGAGCAGGGGCCCCGAGATCGTCCGTCGGCACTGGGGGGGGCGCTGTCGTCTCCGGTCGGAGCTTTTCCTTTGGACTGAGGATAAGGGGCCCGTCAGACACGCGGCAAGAGACGCGCGGCGCCCCTCAGCCTTGCCAAAGCCTAGCTCTGCGCCAATCGCTGCCCTCATGGATCAGGGCTCCCGCGTACGCGCTTTACAGATATATTAACCCTCACATTTAAACAGCAAGTCACTTTCCTGTGAAAACACAGGCCCCTTCTTTCCATAAAAAAGGCAGGAGGGGAGACTAGGTAGTTTACAAAACCACCACCTTGGCGTGAGGAAACACTTAGTTTCTACATTATTCCTCAAAACTGTGACCATGATTGCATTTATCGGTCTTGAAAAGGCAGGGTGATAGTACAGACAGGCTCCCAACGTGGGGCCCTTGCAGTTCAGTCTACGCAGAGCTGGTTGGGTCTGTGCTCTGCAGACCCAGGTCTAGAGCCACAAAACGCATTTCTATCTTGACGGGGGAGGCCAAAAAGACACCAGCCAAAACTCAAGAGCTGCATCAGTTAGTTTCTCAGTTCTCCCCGAGACGAAATAAGAACGTGGAACAAAGGTTACAAAACGAGATAAACTAAATCAGTAGACTACCGAGTAGCAAAAGGGCTGGACAATCAGTTATTAAATGATCTCATCCACCTCCACCCGTTTCCTTAAAGAAGCCAAGGACCTTCTCTAGCACACAGCTAGACAGTTCGTTCCTCACTCCCACAACCCGTTTGTGTCAAGAAGTGCCTCTGAATCTTCGTTTTAGATGTACTTTTGTTTCTGTGTAAATCTGCTGGGTGAAAGTATCAGGTCTCTGTCATCTTTGCTGATCAAGACTAAAGAGAGCCACTTCCTTTAAGCTGTCCGTGTAGGATAAACCTCACAGCCTAAAAAGAGTCTGGTTGCTTGTCTCCACTGATTCCAGAAAAGCAGAACCTAGTCTGCGATACGGTGACCAGAACTGCACACAATTTAAATGCAACATTACTATGTACCCCATTTCACAATTTTAACAAGATTACTCCATTTCTGACAAAATCGCCTAGATTTTTTTGTGCCTTCTTTTAAAAAAAAAAACACACACATGTAAACGTTTCAGCATTCAGATCTTTTCCAAATGTATCCTCCACAAGCTCAGCGCTTCCCTTTCGGCGTCGATAGTTTGTTTTTGCAATCTCTATGCAAAACACTGCACTTGCCTACCAGAAGCTTTCTGCCAGGTATCTGCCCAGTCCTACACTTGATGTACAAGGAGAAACACCAGGGCTCACCTGCGCGACTAGAATTTCCCCCCCGAGATGAGGCCTCGGACTGGTCCGGATGGCACTCACAACTGACCTGAAAGGAAACGCAGACAATTATTTCCCTTCGTCCAGCGCTTCTGGGTGTTCCTCTCCATTTTGAGAGACCCAGAATCACGACCTCCGGGCCCCTGGAAGACTCTGACCCTGTTCAGAGAACCGAACCGAGAGCAAAGCATGGGGCTGCAAAGACCAAGGCGGCTCAGAAACGCCAGTGACCATCTTCTCTCCCGGACGGCACAGACACAGAGCAGCACAGGCCGAGCACCGGGTTCGAGGGGCACCTGGGCACTACCTCTTCTGAGAGAAAATAATCCCACACAGGCGCGGGGTGCTCATAAGGCACACAACCGTTCTTTAAAATCTTCAAGCGTGCGGACTCTAAGCGCCGGGCAGAGGCACAGACGAGCCGAACCTCCGGAGCGATCCTCTCCTGGCTGAGGGTGCCGTCGCTCGGCTCCTCCTCAGAGATCCCGGCGTGGGGTGCGAAGGGCCGAGGGGGGAGAGCAGCTCCCAGCCTGAAACACAACACGTGGCGTCACGGCAGGGACCCCGACAGACGAGCGCCCTGCCCTCCGCCCCCGCTAGCGTGAAACCCCTCCCGCGGGCTGACCTGGAGCGGGCCTGGCAGCGCGACAGGAACCGGGCCGAGATGCTGAGCCGAGGGTTCAGGAAGATGCTTTCTGCCGACGGCCTCAGGTCCCGCAGGTCCGTGTCAAACTTCTCTGCGCAGAGGGAGGACAGACGGGGCGTTAATCCGAGCAGGGGTAGGACGCGTCCCGCTCGAGCCACAGTGAAGCCACCTGGGGAGCAGACAGCCGTGCCCGGGGAGCCCAGCATACCGTTGGCCAGGTCGTCAGCCAGGGTGCCGAAGTGGCGGTGCAGAAGTGTCTCCTGTTCCGGGGTCATGGCCAGAGAGGGGCTGGTCTCCTCCTCCTCCTCTTCCTCGTCCACGCCGGAGCTGCCCGTCGAGCTGGCCTGGCTGAGGGAGTCGGCGTCTGGGGGGAGGAGGGGCAGTGAGAGGGGAGGTACAGTGGTGCGCGTGCTCACGGGCGGCGGCGGCGGCGGCGGCGTGATCCACGTGGCTCACCGTCCCCGGGTCGGTCCTGGCTGGAGGCCTGGCTCTCGGCGGAGCCCACGCAGCAGGCGCTGTCCGGGCTGTGCTCCACGGGCCGGCGCCGCACGCCTCCGCCCCTGCACAGCTCCTTCACGTCGAAGTCGCTGCGGACACAGGAGACGCGTCACGGCGAGTCGTCTCATCTCCCCGACAGAACCAGCCCCCGGGCCGGGCAAGGGCCTTACCCGTCGGCGACGGTCGAGAGCGCCGTGCTGTTGGCCGGGTACAGGATGTCGTCGCTGGTCTCCGGCAGGTCGGGGTCCGCGGGGAACGTCTCCTCGCTCTCCGACAGCTGCGGGAATCCCGGGCGCCGGAAACCGGCCACAAACTGGCCCTCCGACACCTGCAGAGCAGAAAGAGAAGGGTCCGCTACCCGTAATTATTCCGGTCCACACAAGTGCAACGAACGCGCGACTTGCGTGAAAACACGAGCGGACAGCAATGAAACACACCGACGGGTCACGAAAGGAGCGAGGCGCAGCGAGCGAGAGAGCACAACAAACTCCAGAGAGAGACGATAACCAATCAGCCGGCACCAACCTCCTCCTCCTCCTCGCCGATCAGGCTGTCCAAGCTCTGGGGCTGGAAGTCGGTGTCCTCCGGGTCGGGCCCGCCGCTGGCCGGGCCCTGCTCTCGCGGGGGGCTGGGCGACAGGGGCAGCTGCAGCCGCGTGGCCAGGACACTGCGGAGAGCCTGGGGGTCCGACTGCTCCGCCCAGCGGCCCCGCGGCTGGTAGGGGCTTCCGGGGAGGCGCTCCGGGGGCTCCTCCGCACAGCTCTCCGCGGCGCCCTGGCAGGAACAGCGGAGGCACAGAGACGGAGAAAGGGATATCGGTACAGGAACGGAGCCAGAGAGCACCGCAGACGCACATGCAGAGGGCCAGACCTACCAGTCGCTTGGCCCACAGCGGCAACCTCCCATTCGTCTGCAGGAACGCAGGGTCCACAAAGCCTGAGAGAGAAGAACGAGGCAAGAGGGGAAATAAAAGAAAGAAAGACAAGACAGAAATCAGCCAGACGGATCAGACAAACCTGTTTTGAAACTTCAAACAGCTTCTCCTTAAAGTAAAACCGAGGTAAATCAGTTATACCCTTTGTTTTGTCATCATGATGCCTTCAGCTTTTACACTTAACACTAGAGAAGAGTTTACTAGAACCCTAGCAGCGTGCAGAACGGTGCCCTATAATCCTCAACCCTTTCAGCTGGTGCAGGAGACCCAGTCACTCTGTTCTGCGGATACTGAAGTGAAACCCCTCTTGCTCACTCTCCTGCCCCACTCACCAGGGTCGGAGGTGTCCCGGGCCGGGGTCTGGAGGCACTCCTCCTCCTGCTCGTCCTCCTCCATCTCCCCCTCCTCGCCTGTCTGGGCGGGCTGGCTGCTGGGCACGGTGATGTAGGTCTGTCGCCTGAGGGTGTCGCCAGAGAGCTGTCAGGGTGGCCCATGTGGATCTGGCTGCTCCCCAGGCTAGGCCATACCCACAGATGCCCCGAGTGCTACCTGATAAAGTTGGCCTCGGCAGAAGTCTTGGGCGCCCCCTCACGGCGGCCGGCCCGCCTGACCTCGGCCAGCCTCTTCCTCATGGAGTTGGTCATCTGGGAGTCCAGCCTCCACACAAACACACAGCTGGGGACGCATGGAGACGGAGATTGTTACAGACGCGTTAACAGACCTGAAAGAATAACTCCCACCTCTTCTTAAAACTGTTAGTGTTTCACACAGCTCCCCGAGGCTCGTGTGTGGGACGTTTTATCTATCGAGGGGTCTGTGTTCTCCGTTTAATATAATACCTCACCTAGCGGCACGACACTCACCTGTCCCCCGCCACAGTGATCAGGTGCCTGCAGTCCTGGCTGAACCTCATTCCTGTCACAATCTCTGAGGAGACAGAGAAACAGAGGAAAGAAATCATTTCGACTTCTCACCCTTGCAGATACATGGTAGCAACAAAAATCCGAAACAAAATGGAAACAAATCCAAAAATGAAAGAGAGGGCGAGTTAAGGCCGAGAGCCAGTACCTGAGTGTCCAAACACCGTCGCCACGCACTCTCCGGAGTAAAAGTCAAAGATGCAGATGTTCTTGTCGGAGCAGCTGGTGGCCAGGAACATTCCTGAGGGGTCCATCTGCACCTGCAGAGACAAGACCGGGGGGCGCTTCAGGCACTGTACACAGGCTTAGCGATTCCTCGATTCGAAAGAGGAGCTCCAATAAAAATCAGAAGCTGCCGAGTTTAGAATTTACTGCCTGGAGGGTGAACGGTGAGAGCAGGGAACGTTTCTGCGCAGACCAGCAGCACTGAAATAAGAGGCCAGAGGGCATGTGGGATCTTGTATTGGCTCTGGCAACAACTATGTACTCTGCAGTAGCACACAATGTGCTAAGACAACACAACAAAACATTTCTACCTACGCAAACAGATGAGGATCACGTTTTCATCTTTTCCAAACTCTCAGTGACAAGACCCCAATGAGGCTTGTGACGGCACTGTTGCAGAGAAGCTAGGTGGAACCTGCAAACCCATGGGCATGCTGCTCTTGGGCCCCGCCCCCACCCACCCAATCACACCCCTCCTCTGCCCCACCCCTGCCCTCACCTTGAGCACTGTCCCCTCGTCGCTCAGGGAGCCCTTGAAGCACCTGCTCAGCTTTCCACTTCTCACGTCGTACACCCTGCGGGGATCAGACAGCCGTGAGCAGGCCGACGCAGGCCGGGAAAAGAAGGTGCAGCTGACCTGAAGGAGACGCGCGGTCGATCCGCTGTGAGCACCCCGGGCCGGTCCCAGGACCCCAACTCACCTCTCACTCTGCCCAGAGGCTCACACACCAAGTTACTTTGGTCTCTTTTTGTCCTTTCATAAACAGGACAAACTGCCTTTCAATGCAGCCTGCTTGCGTTTCATAAGCAGCTTAAGATCTCCAACCTTTGAGGAGCCAAAAAAAAGTTTGCAAGGTTTCCAAGCAAGCAGCTTGAGCCCTTCACCGCAAAGACAGGACAGGTGCGTGGGTCCCCAGGTTCAGGAGTGGGGAACCCCTGCTTCACCGGACCTCGCCACAAAGCAAGCGCATCCTCCCAACACCTTTCGGCAAGAGGCCGAGAGAGGAAGGGTGTGCAAGTCCTCAAACCGTCTTTGCACTACATGGCGGCACATCCCTCTCCGACTGGCAGCGGCTCGGTACCGTACCGGACGTTCCGGTCCTGGCAGCCGATGGCGGCGTGGGTGCGCGTGGCGTCCAGGGCCATGTCGTACAGCGTGGCCTTCTCCACCACGTGGTGGGAGCGCGAGAAACTGAGGCCTTCGGACGTCTGGAGGAGGGAGAGAAATCAGGAGAACGTCTTTAAAACCACCCCGAGCGGAGGACGATATGCAGCTCCACTGTTACAGCAAATCGAGTAAAGGTTCTTAATATCTTGAAGCTACTTAGTTTTGGATTTATACAATGAAAGACTTATATAGTGCATTCATGATTCACAGACTGTCCTGGCCAAACATAGCTGAGATTTTCTAGCGAACCAAACACTGATAATGGAACACAGGAAGCAGCTAATCCCTTCTGCAACTACACAGACGGAAGATACTTGTCGGACAGATGAAAGAGAATAAACATCACGATCGCAGCAGTGTGTATCGGAGCTTTCCCTCGTCTGCGTTCGCCTCGGTGCTGCGGTGGGTTCGGGGGAGTAATGTCGGCCCACCTTCTCCGCAGTCCGGAAGTAGATGCTCTTGTCGGCACCACAGCTCACCACGCGCAGCTCCGGAAGGGCTCCTGCGTACACACCCGCACGCACCCTGTTACACGACCTGATTGCCACGACGCCCGGCACAGCGCGGCGCCCAGCGCCCATCCCCGCTACCTGTGAACTTGACGGCGGTGATGGAGGCGGAGTGGTCGTCCAGGGTTTGCTCCAGGCTGTAGTCGCTCTCCGCGCTCAGGACGTGAATGAGGCGGTCCCGGCTCGCGGACGCCAGCAGGGTCGTTCCTGAGGGACACCAGCGAGCAGTGGGAATACGAAAACACCTCGCGGGGCCCCTATCGTGCGAGTGGGGCAGTGGGGCCGGCCCCTCACCTGGCTCCGGGCTGTAGTACTCCAGACACAGCACCTCCGAGTCGTGGGCCTCCACCTTCACCACCTCGTCCAGGAACTGCAGGCTGTAGATGCTGCCGGGCACAGAGCGAGAGAGACGAGCGCTCAGGCAGGCGTGGACGGCCGAGGTGCGGTCCGGCGGAGCGTGGCACTGTGCCGTCTCACCTCAGGTTGCCGCCACGGTCCCCGGACGCCAGGTGCTGCCCGTCAGGACTGATGCCCAGAACCCGAATGCCAGCCTTGCTGTCGGCCCCGTTGACCTCCCCCCGCTCCGGCCCGTCCTTCAAGTGCTGGACGCTGTTCCCCGCGTACACGATCTTCAGCAGGTCCTGCGAGACCGCCGCGCACGGACAGCATTACGCGGGAACAAGAGACCGGAGACGCCACAAACACCGCAGGAGGACGATCGATCTCGTCCGAACAGCGCGCCCCAGCCGGTCTGCGACCTCTGCCACCCGAGCAGCCGGAGGAGGGCGGCCGTCAGGGACCGCTCACAAGCGGAGCCTTGCACTGCCCAGCACCGCCACCCGTCTGAACTGCAGAACCGACGCCGAGGGAGGGGGAGCACAAGCACGAGGCCGCAGTTGGGAATAAAACTGCTCCCCCAACAAGGGGGAACCCCGGAGGCACAGAGAGAAACTCGGCCCCCCACACGGCGACCCCCCAGTGCCTTACGTGGCTGTACAGGTTCCGGCGGTAGCCGGTGAGATGGGGCCGGGGCGGCCCGGTGTCGCAGTGCCACAGCCGGATGGTGTTGTCCGAGGAGCAGGTCAGGAAGGAGCCGGGCGGCAGGCAGCCCGACGAGGAATCCTCCAGCTCGGGATAGGTCTGCAGGGCGTGGGGAGAAAAACAAGCAGCATTTCAAAGCTTCCAGGAATACAGCACTGAGCAAAGACTGCAGAGCCTAGAGTCTAGTGTGTCGATGTCCATGAACCCTTTAAATTTAGTCAACTGTAGAAAGCCACGTGGTTCAGAAAACACCAGATTGATTAAAAGAGGATATCGGCGTCCATGCGTGTGAACCCAGCTCGGGGCAGGCAGCTGTCCGAGACTCGTCAGGGTACCCCCTCCTGCACTGCACAGCTCCTCCTCCTTGGACACGCTTGTCTCCCAGCAGCGCCCGTTCCCAGCTTCCAGAATGCACTTTCATCGCCGCAAGCGGTCAATAACAGCCCGGGACAATCGCTTGTTTGACGGGAAGGGTGCTGAGCTGTGCGATCATTCAAGACCCTGGCGCGAGACGGGCAGACGGGCCGAAGGGAAACCGGCGAAGTGCAGTTACCTCCACGCTCCAGACGCAGGCGCTGTGGTAGAGGGCGGAGCTGACCTTGCCGACCTTCCTCACATCCCGCACGTCCCAGACGTACACGCTGTGGTCGCTGTACACACAGGTCAGCCAGCAGGTCACGGGGTCATAGGTCAGAGCCACGGTGTCCGGGTACACAGCCTCGGGGTGCCAGGAAAACAGGTGTCTGGCGGAGGGAGTGCAGGAGGAGGGGGAGTCAGGGCAGCTCTCCAAACCGCACTCTGCCTACAGCAAACACTTCAGTCCGAAAGACAGACCACGGAGCCGGGAGGAAGAACTGGCGCGGGGCCGCCGTACCCTGGCGCGATGCCCTTGGCGACGTCCACGCCCAGGCAGTGTGGCCGGGGCAGGGTGGTGATGTAGTCCAGCGTGCACGGGTTGAACACGCGTACCGTGCCGTCCGTGCAGCCGCAGAACACGAGCTGCTCGCTGACCGCCAGGCAGCTGCCCGCGGAGGTCTGGCAGGAGAGAGAGGGGAAGGGTCAGAGGCCACAGCAACGGGACCCCTTACAGTGAAGTGCCGCACAACGTCACTCAAGAGTTAACACAAGACGAAGATGAGCGAATTGTGACAGTCGCACTGGGCAGTGGCTGCGCTTCGCCTCCAGCAGGCAGAGTAGGGGAACAGGCACGCGAGAGCCCACTCTGACCTTCAGGTCGATCCAGGAGTCCAGCAGCCTCTTCTCGTTGAACTGGCAGAGCAGGCCGGAGCTGGTCAGGCAGAAGGTGCTGGCCGCCATCTGGCCCCGGCCGCACGCCACGTCGCAGAACAGCCGGTTGCGCTGCTCCCCCAGCAGCCCCGAGCGCCCGATCAGCGGCACGGTGCCGTTCACCTGCAGAGGGGCACGAGTCGGGATCAGATCGCTCAGCTGCCACGCCCTGTGTCTGCGGTGCCGTCAGCTGGACCAGGAGCGCTGGAGGACCAGCAGCTCATGCGATGACAAAGGACAGCCTCAGGGGGCACAGCCCAGCCACAGACACTGGGCGACACACAGACCACACCTTACTCCCTGAAGCCTGGACACACAAGAACAACGTCACACTGTACGAAGCCAAAGTACTGCCCGCCAATCGCCCCCCTGTCAGCGCAGGTCCTCTCACCCGCCGCTCCTTGGAGGCGTCCAGGTACCAGAACTTGACGTGTCGGTTCCCTGCCGTCACGAAGTAGCTGCTGTCCTCCGAGAAGGACACCGAGGTCACCCGACTGGACACCTTGTTGGAGGCGATGACGCTGCCTTTCTGCACTCGTGGGACAAAGAGGGAAGGAGATCACTTCCCAGGAACCCAGACCTCACGGATGCTCGGAGCCCGGGCCCCATGCCCATGGACACTCACCCTCCACTCCCACACGTTGACGGTCATGTCGTGCTCGTAGCCCACGGACACAATGTAGCTGCCGTTGGTGGAGAAGGCCACGCAGGCCACACCATACTTGTGGTGCTGCACCTCCGCCACCTGAGTCCTCTCCGCCACGTCCCAGACTCGCACGCAGGGCACGTGCCCACACTGGAGGGCAGGAGGGGGAGAAAAGCGCTGTGGGTCTCTGCAACAGCAGCTCCGGAGATAAGGACAATCCTCCGTTTCTCAGCGGCTGCTGCTCAAGCAAGTCTCCCCAAAAAACAGGACCGCCCCGCTCTCCCAGGCTACAAACTGCTGTGCCAGTTTCAAACCAATCTCAACAAGAAGCTCTACGGCTCGCAAAGACTCAGGGGGGCGAGAGAGGAAGCTGGAAGATGCTGCCTATGAAAAGGTATGACTGTGTTCGGCGTGTATATTCTCTTTGTAGTGAGGCAGCAAGCTTAAGTTACAAAGGGGTATTTAAACTGCTCTACATGATTCTGGTCAAAAGTGCTGAAAATGTTTTTTCTTTTCCACTTCGGGCACTTACCTCACCGGTGACCAAGTACTTCCCGTCCCGCGAGAAGGCCAGGGCTGTGAAGGTTTTTCTGGAAGACAGACAGGAGACTCACACCAGCAGCAGAAGAGACGGACGTCTGTCCCCATCAGCAGGGAAAGACACATTTGTCTGCCCAGGGGCAACAGGGTCTGGAGGGGTGGGGTAGGGGGACGCTTGCAGAGACAAATCCAGCCCCCAGCTCTGCTCTGCTCCTCACCTGGATGTGTTCAGGATGTGGCTCTGCTTGTTCCTCTTGGGGTGTAAGAGCACCACAACGCAGCTGGAACAGAGGGGGAAAAAGCAGGCCAGTCAGCGAGGGGCAAGCCCACTGCGAGCACGCTCAGAAGACGTGGGGGGGAGGGGGCTCCTACCCGGCAGGATAGGCCACCAGCCCGCTCGAGGGGTCGCAGGCCAAGCCGCTGGCGCCCGAGGTGGTGATACCCAGCACCTTCTCAAGGGTCACCTGGAAGACACACACAGCACAGTCAGTGGAAGAGCTCCTCCTGCCAGACCGAGGCAAAGGGCTCCAGCTGCACAGGGTCTGCAAGCTGCAGGCTTTTAAAGCAGCCGACGCCAGACGGACGCTTGCATCCTCGCTCGGAACACACCTGTGTGGAGTTTGCATGTTCTCCGAACATTCACACGGTTTCCTCTCGCATCCCAAAGACACGCGTGTTAGTTAACCCCCTCCCTGCCGCCAGCAAGAGGGATGACCGTACAGCACAGAGCAACCTCACTGATATACTCCTGCAAGGAGATCTTTCTTTTCCTTTATTAAAAGGAAAGGTTAAATTTTAATTTAATAATTCCTATGCAGAATTTCTTTGTAACAGTTGTTTTCTTCATTACAATTAGACCAAGCAATCTATTAACAGTAAAAACATAAGTGTTGGTTCTTGTTGCCAGCAGCCATATCACCCTGCAGCTCCCAGCTGGCAGCCCACTGAAGCCCAGCAGTGTGAGCCTGGCCAGTACCTGGATGGGAGACTCCTGGGAAAGCTGAGGTTGCTGCTGGAATAGGTGTTAGTGGGGCCAGCAGAGGGCGCTCATCCTGCAGTCTGTGTGCATCCCAATGCCCCAGTATAGTGACAAGACACTAGACTGTAAAAAGGTGATGTCCTTCGGATGAGACGTAAAACCGAGGTCCTGACTCTCGGTGGTCATTAAAAATCCCAGGGCATTTCTCGAGAAGAGTAGGGGTGTAACCCCAGTGTCCTGGCCACATGCCCCCTGGCCTTGACCAATCATGGCCTCCTAATAATCCCCCTCTCTGAACTGGCTCCATCACTCTGCTCTCCTCCCCACTGAGAGCTGGTGTGTGGGGAGTGGACTGGTGCACTCTGGTATCATCCAGGTGGGACTGCACAGGGAGTTCCTGCTGCATTTAAAGCGCTCTGAGTGGAGTGTCCAGAAAAGCACTGTATAGGTGTAAGGTTGTTGTTATTGGTAGCCCGAGGACCCCAGAGGAGGGACTAATCACTGCTCCCCACATCAGCTGCTCTGTCAAAGTGCAGTTAAAACCAAGAACAGGAGTCACTTCATCCGAAGGGTTGCGGGAGACGGGAACAAGCAGCCCAGCCGACATGCAGTCAGGCTTCTCCCAAGAAGCAGCTGGACCGAGTTCACTACTCGCTCCCAGCGGGTTACACGGGCCTCCCCCCCCGGCTGTACCTGCTGGCCAGACAGACCTCGCGGGGGCTGCACTGGGCAGGACCCCTGGACGCGGCCCGGGGGGAGACGGACCCCCGCCCCCGCCGGACAGGGTGGCCGGGAGTTTGGGCTCTTGAGCTGCGCGCCCCGGGACAGCCCCTCCACCCCTAGGAGCTGGGCTCACACTGCGATTCAGAAACTAACAAGACAAGACACGGCGCGAAGCACGGAACGGGGCACGCTGCTGTGTCCAGCGGCCGCCCCGGGGACTCGGCCTCACTCACCCGGCCGAGCACGCTGCGCCGGGCCGGCGGCTGGCGGCTCCTGCGGCGCAGGCTGAGCGCCGGCGGGGATCCCAGCAGCTTCCTCACCCGGGAGCCCAGGCCGCCGCCCCGAGCCGCCCCCTCCGCCATCGTCTCTTAAAAAATAAAAGCTATTTAAAAAAAAAGAAATAAATAAACCTGAAACCAAACTCTCGATACGGGACTTTTTAAAACAAAAATAAATAAACGAGTCTGTCGGTTCGCTCTGCGCTTCCTGGCGGAGGTCAGCTCTGCCGACGGGACAAAAGTTTGTGAAGCCGAACTTGAGCTCCGCGTCCACAGCTCTCCGCTGTCGGTCCTTCCCGCTCCGCAGACGCCTCGGGCTGTATTTCCGCCCTGCCCGTCAGTCGAGGGGCTGGTTTCGGGGGGGACCTGTCTCTCCCGGCCGCCGTCTCTCGGAAAATCACTTCGCAGCCACTCAGGCGGAGTTCGCGCAGCCCAGGAAGGCTAACGGCACGCTGACGCGGGTCCAGTTACCCCGGGAGACGGCGCGGTAAACATTTTCAAACAGACGGCGTCTCCGGTGATTGGAGCACGCCCAAACGATGGACGGGGATCGTAGCCAATAGGAACCTCTCTCCCCAGTAGTCCCCCCGCCCCGCTATCTGTCCTGCCCCCGCCCCCCACGGGCTTTGTGATTGGGTCGCGGCCCTAACTGACATCGGGGATATCCAATGGGTGTTGTAGAAAAGGGGAGTGGGGGCGGGTGGGAGGAGAGGAGAAACCCCGGCCGGCCCTGACGTTTTGGTTGGAGGTTCAACCGAAGAAAAAAAAACATCTCAAAACAAAGACCCACGTTAAACAATCAGATCAGACTCGCATCTGAATTCAGGGGTTATCGCACGTGTCAGATTACGGGTGTGCGCGCGTTCATTGACGTGTGTGTTGAAGCTGAAATCACATTAATGAACTCTGAAAGTTTGCCGCGCAGTGGTTATATGCGGGATATTAGGGAGAATTGCAATAATTTATCATGCTATGCCCTGTAACTTCTGCATGTTAAACTCATACGAATATATATATATATGCTATGTCCGTTTGATTTCAGAACAGTAAAGCATGTGGGCAGATTCAGTGCCTTGGGCATCACTAATTTCTCCTTCATGACTGAATATGAAAAATTCGAGTTACCTTTTTATATTAAAGAAGCACTTTAATTCAAACCATGAATCAACTGAACAAGCAATACTCCAGCAGAAGGAAAACCGGTCCTTGAGGACAGAACGATGTTCTGATTTGGGTGCAAATGATCTTTAAATGACTTAATCGAACACACTTATTTAACTGATCACAGTAAAACTTGTTTAGGCCTTTAAAAAACAGTTGGGGGATTAGTATTGCTGCCTTGCAGTACCGGGACCCTGCGATCAATTCCTGGGGTGCTGTCTGTGTGAAATTTGCATGTTTTCCTCACGTTCATGTCCATTTCCTCCCACAGTCCAAAGCCGTGCTGGTAGGTGTGTGGATTTCAAGCTTCGTCCAAAACCAGCTGCAGTGGGGGTCTCCAGGACCAGGGCTGGGGACCTTGTACATCTGACCCAGTGTCACCCCCACCTGGACCTTGTACCTTCTCCCAGACAATTCTCTTCACTGGGAAAGGATTTCTGAATCTACATCTTGAGGGCCCAGAAGCTAAACACTCGGTTCAATAAGCTTAATTGATAACTCGGCTGGACGAAGTCACAGAAGGCTAGGATTGGGAAACGCAGCCCTGGGGCTTCATGCTATCACTGGTTTTAACTAAGACAGACAAGAGTGCAAATAAATCAGAGCGTTTTAATGTTCTTTCAAACACCATACTGACTCTTCGAACAATATTCACAGGACATTCGAGTCGCTTGCATTTGTGACACAGCACTTGTTCCTTCAGAAACTTCCCTTTGAAGTGCGCCACACAGAGGGAGGCTGTGGCGACAGAGGGTCTTCCAGTGTTGTACTTGTCTGACAAGCAGAGGTACAAAACAACTCCCAGATGCCCCCTGTGCACCAAACTACACCACCGGGGCACTACGCGGTCATCTCACGCTGCCCCGTAACCACTGAAGTACCCTAAACAGAAATTAAAACATTTTTGAAAGAGTATCGGAAATCCTTTTCGTACTTGTAAGGAGAGTTAAAGCTCAGAACTAGCAACGGAATGGAATAAACACATCAAAAGGATGTTTTTTTTTTTT